AACTATTCCACGCAAAAAATATGTGAAAGGTGTGCCACTCCTGTTTGATTACATTGAAAGCTCGTTGATTTTCTAGGTTAAAACGAATTTCAACCAAATCAAAACAATGTTGGTCCAAGACGTCTTTGCATATATTCCTGTCATTGATATGTAGAAATCGGTATGCAACAGCCATCATCAAACCCGACTGCAAAATCCTGGAAAAATAATGTATAAAAGCAATGAATGCTACGTGAATGTTATTTCAAATATGAATACTATGACGACAACCATGCAAGAGGGTTTAAAACGTCAGATTATAAATTTTGTCGTACATTGCAGAGGAAACTAAGGGGGAAATGAAATACACCTCAGCAAATAGCCTTCAGAGCACAGGCGCTTGACGTTTTTAACCTTTCATTATAAATAAAAAAAATTCACTACTATAATAATATTTTAGTTTTTTAAATTTATAATGAGAAGGTTAAAAACGTCAAGCGCCTGTGCTTCAGAGGCATTAAAGGGACGACTAAGTGATTCGGGATGGGGGGGGGGGGGGGGCTGGCACACTCTTTCGAGTCAAATTATTTATTTTTGTGTCGGTGAAGGACAATATTTATTTCCAAACAACACTTCAAAGTCAACAACAGTACTCTTATTCGTGGGGGTGGGGGCCTAGGGACAGATTATTTATTCCCTGTCCAGTCGAGGTCATATTATGTATTTTCAACATTTTCCAGGTTATTTATTTCCAAAATCTAACCCCCCCCCTCTTTCAGAATCAACTGGTTGTCCCCGAGAGAGACAAATGATAGACAATTCGAGTTTTCTCTGGTTTTTTTTTTTTATTTCACTTTTATTCCTTATGTTTATACGTAAAATAAGTAAGTATTTTCATACTTACTGAACTTATATAAACTTATTATATAGTTGCAATGTTAAACCAACTTTGAATAGCAATTTGCTAAACTAGGTTAGAAAAAAAGTACGATTCGTATTTCCTCTGATTTTTTACTTAATTTAGCTCATGATTTACACTGATCACAGAAATTATTGAAAAATCATCCATGAATGTCTATTTCTCATTTAATGTTTATGGCTAAGGACCAAAGAGCAGTCACATAAGCACTGTTTATCAGGCATCTGAAAAAAAATCTGTAATTCGAATTTCCTCTGTTTTAGCATGGTATAATATTGAACATGACGCGTTTATTTATAATAAGTAATAATTATATCCTCTATAGAGTTTTGTTCCTGTATATTTCTTTTTCATATTACTTCAAAAACTGCTAGCCAATTTAAAAGATCATGTGTAATTTTTCACATATTAATTTTCTTTTTTTCCCCTCTTTTTTCCAACAAAATATTAGATAATTCCTAGCTAAATTTCAAAATATTGCCTCGATGGAATTTTTCCGATTTTTCATATTACATTGCCTACTTATTAAACTTTCATAAAATACGAAAGAAAATTCTGTTGCAATTAGTTTAGGGTTTTACAATTTTTTTGCTATTTTGACTGGACTATTATAACAAATAATAACATCATATACTTCTAAACTATGTTAGAGCATAACAAATATCCATCGATCTGCAGCTTAAAATTGTTTATTGCATATTTTATGAAATAATGGAAATGCTAGTCAAAAATCAAACATAAATTATTCTTCAGACTATAAAATTTTAAGTGAGGCATGACTGCAAATTGTTGCAAATACATAATCAAAGTACTCAGAAGTACTGAAAGCCGGGCTCATTTACAGGGTAATGAACAAAGACCACGATGACAGTTTAAAATCAAGCTGATTCAGCCATTGAAAAGATGATTATATATATCTATGCCATATATAGCATTAAAAAGCTTTAAAATTTATTAAAATGTAGCTAGAATTTAACAGCGTAAAATATTTGTCACATGTATCATTTCGGGGTTTTACATACCAACAAAAGTAAATAAACACTGATGCAGCAAGATTTTTTAAGGTCACACAATTATGCACAGATGGGTCCTCAGCGGGGAGTTTTGCATCAAAGCGTACATCAAGTCATGAATGATGTTTCCTGCATTTGTATTAGCCTGATAGTACACCCTTTATTTATAGAATATGACGCAGACAGGGATACCTGTGGAATACCTTTCGCATATTTTAACCAAATAATTAATCAGCGAAAACGATAGAAAGTATTTTATTATAATTATTTTTTGACAATTTCAGATAACTATGAAAGTTTAATTCAGTGTCTGTATTGCCTCAAAGGTGATTGCGCAGACGTACTATATTCTAACTCGTAAATTTAATTTGGCGGTGAAGAAGCAGCATTTTCTGTTGCTCACCGTCGCAATAGCCGGGCATTTCTCTACGAGAAATGAGCCCGGCTAAAAATTGAAATATAAATTTTTTTTTTCAATGAACATGTATAATTAGTTTTAATCATATTGTACAATACTAATTTAGTTTTAATCATACACTACAACATCAATTTGTTTTAATTAATTACACCAACTGAAAGATCTTGGACTAGCCATCAAGAACTCTTAATTAACACAAGCAACCATGAGGCCATTTCTTTTTGCCCAACTCTCAAGGGATAAATTAAGATAACTCTGCATCAGATCTATAGAGACCTCTTAGCTCCTGACAATAAACTCATTAATTTCTCTCTAATTTGACATGCAAATTTCTGCTATCAAAATTCTTCTTAACCAGTGCTTGATAATTATGCCCATGGGACAAACTGAATTCCTCTCAAAGCATAAACATTTGTTACAGATTGCTGTAAAGTATATAACGAAAAAATAAGTTTTTGCTTAATTTAACATCTTTTAATAAGGATACAACTATTATTTTTACATTTTTTAGGATTATGAAATTTAGAATTTAAAAAACTTAGTTTAAAAAAATAAATCACTTTAATTAAAGGTCACAGTGACCTTGAAATAGGCCCGGACACACCTTCTACTTTAGATGTATACTTTTGCCAAAGCTCTAGGTCTAATAATGTTCTAGTTATGAGCTGGACAGGATTTTTCCATATTTGTTTATAGCATATTTGTTGCAAAAATAATTTTTTTTTTCAATGAACACATATATTATTAGTTTTAATCATATTATACAATACTAATTTAGTTTTAATCATACACTAAAACATTAATTTGTTTAAATTAATTACACCAATTGAAAGATCTTGGACTAGCCATCAAGAATTTTTAATTAACACAAGCAACTATGAGGCCATTTCTTTTTGCCCAACTCTCAAGGGATAAATTAAGATAACTCAGCATCAGATCTATAGAGACCTCTTAGCTCCTGACATTAAACTCATTAATTTCTCTCTAATTTGACATGCAAATTTCTGCTATCGAAATTCTTCTTGACCAGTGCTTGATAATTATGCCCATGGGACAAACTGAATTCCTCTCAAAGCATAAACATTTGTTACAGATTGCTGTAAAGTATATAATGAAAAAATAAGTTTTTACTTAATTTAACATCTTTTAATAAGGATACAACTATATTTTTACATTTTTTAGGATTATGAAATTTAGAATTTAAAAAACTTAGTTTTTTAAAAAAATCACTTTAATTAAAGGTCACAGTGACCTTGAAATAGGCCGCAACACACCTTCTACTCTAGATGTATACTTTTGCCAAGTTTGAAAGCTCTAGGTCTAATAGTTTTCTAGTTATGAGCCGGACAGGATTTTTCCATATTTGGCTATAGTATCTTTATTAAAGGTCAGAGCGACCTACTTTTTGTGCGCGACACACCGTCTACCCAAGAAGTATCAGTTGACAAAGTTTGATAATCCTAGGCCTAATAGTATTCAAGTTATGAGCCGGACAGGAATGGACAGACGGACAGACGGACGGACGGACGGACATGAAGCCTATAACATAATACGACCCGTCTTAAGACGGGCGTATAAAAATCATAAAATGCTTTAACTGATTAATTCAAGTTTTAAAGACATTAAACTATGCAGGTAATATTCAATAAAACGACATCAGGATTAAACTATGCAGGTAATATTCAAGAAAACGACATCGGGACTGTCTACTCCATTTTTTGAACGCAACAAATAAGCTGTATATTGCAGCTGATCGACTTTACATGGGTGAGAAGCGAGCTCGGCTACTTCCTTTGATGTGGCGAGAATGTGACGTAGTAAATAAACTTCTCGACAAGCAAAGCGTTAGCACGTCACAAACAGTGTAATCCGTTAGGTTTATTGCAATCAGCTCTAAACAGTTTTTGCATTTCATATTCAGAATAATGATGAATGGCAAAAATGTGTTGCTCATTATCTCAACTAAAAAAAAGTTAAGTGCTTTCAAATTTGTCCTATGTGTTAAATAAAAGTTAAAAACCAAATAAATCTCTCAACACTGAAAAACTATGGGTTTATTATTTAAATTTCAAAATTTTTCTTGATACAGATGAATTTAAGTTTCTAGAACTCTGATATCTCAAATACCATGGACATGTAAAAATGATTTGAAAGTTCCATTCATATATTCTTTAACTATATATTATTCAGATACTGTAGAATTAGAAAACATTGCCTTGGTTTTAAAATCTCTATGTTCACAACTGAGGAATTTTCCGTGAACATAAAGCCATCATAGATATTGCCAACAATGCATTCATCTATTCATACAGTTTAATAAACAGATTTTTTTCTACTTGGTAATAGTAAAATATTAACTCAGTTAAATGTATATATGATAACCCTAGGTCATGACAAAAAGGGGTTAAAGTCACTTGTTGCGTTTTTTCCCTAATAATAGTAGTTTACTATAACTTCTATGTTTTCAAAATTTATTCATACAATTGAAAATATTGCGCTACAAGAAGGTCATTATCTGTGAAAATAAAACCATGGTGAAATGCTCAGATATTGTAAATTGTGATATATTGAACACATGAAATTAAAGACATTAAAGTATCTTGAAGTTTTTTCTTGGTCCTATCATACGAGATAAAGAGGTTTGACTGCACATTGAATTCAATAGGAATACCTGGTCTAAATTCTTCTCGAGCTTCATTAATCTTGATTTCTGTTTCAGCTGCCACAGTTAACTTCTCACTGACTTCTGCAGCGGTAACTTTTGTTACTGACAACACTTCAATGAGGGATTCATCATCTACTAGGGATCCCTGTCAGAACATTCCATACGAAAAATAAGCTGTATTTTTTTCCATTATTCAGAAACTCGAGATTATATCAATGTTCCAACAAATTATAATAATGTCAGTCCACTATAATGGTTTTCATGCATTTGATTAAAATAATATTTCAATACGCAAGTTTTGAGATTATCTCCCTTGGTAAACAGACAGGTGGGACAGATATTTATATAATGGATACATTGTATCATCCATATACTGGTTTATCATATACATGATTTTCAGGATGCACTCTACAACTCAAGAAGAACCAAATTAATGTAAAGGCATCATTTTTTAAAGCAAAAATTTGTTAAAAAAAAGAATATATCAGTGGATGTAAGACTTTTCAGACAAGAGATGAGATATGCATAGTTAAGGTTGACAAAATCATCAAATGCATCACTGCTTAACATTATTATCTAATCAATAAAATTTAATATATTTAAATGCCATAAATATTGTTTATTTATTTATTCACATTTGTATACAGAAACAACCTTTCCCACCTCCATGCTGAAATGGATACTTTTTGCGCCTCTATCGTAGGAGAGTTACAATCTCGAAACTTGCGTATTGCCCGGTTGTTTTAATTTTATGAACAGAGCCATTTTTGGAGATTCCAGTCATAAATTAACTATACCATAAACAGGCACTCAGTAATGCTGCATCAAGCTTTATTTTTTAACTCTTTCAGTAAAAATTAAACTTTTATATTGAAAACTATTCAATTTATCACATCACAAAAAAGAATTAACTGAGAGATTGAAAGATTCATTAGGACTCCCACATTTCTTGCATGGCCTTAATAAAGAAATAAGAAAAAATACCTTTGTACTTGTCAATTTGTATAACAAGTTATCCTCCAATTCTTGCATTTTCCTCTTGTTTGAATTCACATCTAGCATCAGTTTTGCTCTGTCAGCTTCCAGTTCCTGTTATGAAGAAAAGCAACTAATTGTATAATCCCTGCTTTAAATAAAGAAGCACCATGACAGGAACAATACTCACATTCTTTTCTTTTAAAATAACAAGCCCCAAAAGTTGATCCTCCAATCCTTTCATTGTGACAGTAAAGTCTATAATTGATGTCCTAGCACTCACCTAGAAAACAGAATCATGATTCACAACAAATAAACACTTAAAATCACATGTGCATGCATGTACTTATTTCTAGCCACATTTAGGCCATAATAAATAAATTGCTAGATTCTCATCCGAATTTTTTTAAAAATCGAGGCGGGCGGGCGGCTTTTATTTTATATTTTTTAAATTTTGCAGATTTTTTATTGACCTGGTCAATCGGTGTAATTTTATCTACAATACCCGAATAAAAGTCATAGTAAAGGTTCAATTATCTCTTACTTCACATCATCACCAATCTTTTTCAACCAATGACCCTTATTTAAAATATAAACGCATATATTACAGCAATTACCGTCATTTCAGCTGTCAAAATCATGCCGACTTTCGTGGGATAGAATAGTAAATGAATACCGATCCCGATCAGAATTAAGATGAAGAAAAACAGAAATTGCATACAAATATATTATTCATTCATATTTTTATTACCATTAACAGCTAATTCAAAATTACTATACAATATGAAATAATCTGTTTTCATCATTAGCAGATCACACATTTTAAAAATCTTACTGAAAAATAATCCTTTCACAAGCTGTTTTAGGAAATTAATGTAGTAGTTTTGATGATGAGCGTATATTCAAAATTCAATAATTCAACATCAAATATGAAATAAAGTATAAACCACTCAATGAACCTTACTTCTGGAGTATAGGCTGGATTTGCTAACTTTGTCGTCATGTACAAATAAAATCCTTTCATTATGTCACACTCCTTGTCACCAACTTTGACCTACATTAGATTAAAACAAATAGATTATAAACAATATTGTAAACCAAATCTGACATTAAGAGACTATCACTAATTAAAATCCATCTGTATGATTTCTTTTGCTGCAGCACTCCATTACTTTTCTGGAATTGAGTTTCAATTCACATGTACACTGAAAACAAGTTTTTATACTATACATTAAGATCTCCCTCTTGGTGTTATGCTTGTTAAGACTTACAACAAAAATTTTTTAGTCATATTTTAATTTTACTTTGAAAAAGTGTGGCACTGCTGGGTTTTGCTAAAACAAAGATTTTTTTTGGGGGGGTGACATCATTTTAGGACACACACACAAAAAAAAATAACCTTTAAACTTTTTCAAATCAAATACACAAATAAAAATGATACCTTGTATGTTGAGCCAGATTTAATAAAATTCTTTTCCAAAACATTGTCCAGAGCTGGATCTAGTTCTTCCTCTATATCCTCAATCAGAAGTGGACGGCCGAGTGACAGAGAATCCTCCAAATGACTTCGGAAATATTTGTGATTCAGGGAAGTCACCTATCATCAAAGAAAAGGATAAAATCTACACGTTATAGGAAGAGAATGTAGTTTTAATGATAATTATTTTGCTCTGTTTGGTTTGAGATTTAATAGGAATGAGCTATTTATTTATGATTAACAAATTATTTACCTTGACATCTAGGTGTTATAACAGTCTTCACGAAAACTTTTCAAACTAACTGGCCAGTCGGACCAGTGAACTTTCAAAATTTACTCGCCCACCAAAATTTTTACTGGCCCCTTAATTAAAAAATAAAATGAATACATTTTCAAACTGTAAATTTATACATGTTTACGTACTTCAACTTTTGAATGCCGCCATTTTTCATCCTTTGTCGCGTTTTGGTAAGTTGTTCATTGGAAATTCGCACATTTTACGTACTAGTTAATAGTTACTAGCTAGTTCCGGTTGTTATGTAATACATCCATGTTATAATATAGGGTTACAATAATACGATTCAACAACACGTGCTTGTTCTTTTTATATAATATATCAATGAAATTTATGCAAGTAAGTCAGTTAAGATATATATTGACTGTGTATGATTTTTATAATCAACAAGCCCATCGGACTTCTTGAATTTTGATTTTCACTGACCCGACATCAAAATTCACTGGCCTCGGTCTTCAGACCAGTGAGTTTTCGTGAAGACTGTTATAATAAAGAAAACAGGTTTTTAATATGCATTTGACTGAAATACTGACTGAAAGCTCACCTGTAGATCATGATCTTTTTCTCGATTTTTTATCCAGGATTTGCCTTGACCTTGAGGATCAACAAGTAATGGGAACCTGGTAGCTTTTGTTGTAATTATACCATTTTGAATAGAAAGTTCATCATTTGGTAGTCCTTGTATATTCCATTCACCAATCTTTAAGAAAAACAGCCAAATGAAAAAAGATAAGAGTATTAAATGCAGTAAGTGCAATATTTTTTATTTAGAGATTTAAGAGTTTGCTTTTTAAAATGATTGCTACAATTATAAAATTTTTAATAAAAATTGCTTCAAAATTACTGGGATATCAATTTTATCTGTAAATTTGCTACATGTGTGTTCATATTGTAAAGGTTTTAATGTATTTGCTTTTGAATTTCTCCTCAGATCCAAACCGAATGAGTTATATAATTCAAAGAAACCAAGTAGTATCTGTAATTATCTACATTCAAACTATTATTGTATATTTAACTTGCCGTAGCATTATCCACCAGCATAGATATCAAATTCAGGTCATTAGTGAATGGTATTCTTCTTTGGTACAATTCTTTTTGCCAGTTGTCAATCAGTTTGTTCCTGAATTCCTGGTTGAAGGGTCCCGAGTAGGATAAGAAGCCTGTACATAGCAAAATGTCTCCAACAAGTCTGTAAAATAGTGTACATGATAGTGACATTTTGACTTAACCAAAATTTTTTACATGCAAATTAAGAGAAAGAAAAAAGGCAAAAAATTAAGAACATAAAATTTCAAGCAAGGTTCCCATATTAGCCAATTTAGTTGATATTGGACAAAATTAAAAGATACAGCCATTGCTTTTATATTTCTAGTCTAAAATTGATTTGAAATATGCATTGTCAAGTAAGTTACATATCACACACACACACACACCCTCACACACACACACAGAGGAGAAATCTATGTTGTGAAATGTTTATCATTTCATGCTGTACCTATCAATTTGGGACTTAAACTGCTTGCTCTGCTGTGTCCATCGTACTTTTTCCCCTCCTAGACCTCCAATTAAAGCAGAAGCAGCCATCATTCTTCTTCTGCAGGACTCGGCATCATCTAACAAAGTCTTCACAAAGAAATGGTACAGAATAACAAGAGGCCCATGGGCCACATAGCTCACCCGAGCATTGTGGCTAGGAAAAAGTAGAAATTGGTTATAATTACAATACTATAGAAAAGTGTAAAACCAGAAGTTTGGCCCCGCCCTACCCCCGGGGATCATGATTTGAACAAACTTGAATCTACAATACCTGAGGATGCATCCATATAAATATGAGCAATTATTGCTTTGCTATTCTTGAGAAGAAGATTTTTAAAGAGTTTTCCTAGGCTATCTAAATTTAATTCTCTGGTTCTCAGGCCAATTTTTTCCAAAACAGATGCTGGAGGGCGGCATTTTATTTATTATTTTATTGGCAATAAAGTAGATGAGGAAGGTATTTTTTTAATTTTAATTTTCAAATTTTCTGTAACATAAAGGTAATTTTTTTTAATCACAGATATACTTTCCATTTCTGGTCAAAATTTCTGCTTTATCCATTGCTTATCAGCGTGTAAACATCGTAGGTAATGTCCTCGAATGTATTTTCAAAAGAAGTAGCCAAGATTTCATTGCAAATAGCTACCGGAAGTAATATTTGAATACTAAACTACGAAACAAATGAGGTCGGAATTTTTTTTTCCGGATTGGTCTCCGCAATAC